CTACAGACAGAAACATGGGTGGACAATAGCTGGTTAGGTACTTATATGGACTTATATGTAACAATTACTCATTTAAAAGACACATTCACTTTTTTGCCCAGAGATAGATGAGGATCAATACCACTCTCATGACCGTACACCATGGATGTATTATTAGAACTGGATACTGGAGTCCAATGAGAATTGCTTGCCTCACGCACACAGCAAAAAGGTTTCTAGCTTCCGGCTACCTGAATATGTGCAGTCGTGTTTCTCCTGCTAACTCCGCCCACAGGTTCCCATTAACCACATAGACTTTTACATTGTGTTTATTTCATGTTTCACAAATATAAAACCTCCATGGACAAACATTCCTAATAGAAAAGAGTCATAATGAACCTTGTCTGGAGTTTGTGGTTTCTCAGACGTCTCTTTTATAATAGTAAAGTAACAAAAACACAACAATTCTTATTTTCAGGTGATTACACACTGATGAAGACATACCTATGAATATTATATTCCATTTCTGCCAAGGGATCCTCCTGAATGTTACAGTATCTTTTTAAATTCTTAATGATGTCCTGTATGTTGTACTTGGAACCATAGGTTGAGTGAAGCTCTCTGCTTTATCCTCCTCTCATTAGATACAAACATAACACATAACGCCTCCCCGCTGGTTGTGAGTAGGCGGGATGATATACACACATACAGCCCTGCTTTGGACTTTTGGGCATGCTGCACGTATAGTCTCTAGGTCCATGCTGGTGGAGGTGGGACGCCTTACCACCTCCACCAGCATGGACCTAGAGGCACTATCTGTCATGCACATACTGTAGGATGTGGCCATATTCTCTCACTCCATGTTGTAGTCTTCAATGAAGGTTTAAAGTTCCTCCCTCTAGTCCTGTATGACTTTCCTCTTTTGTTCGAGGATCTTCTTCCTTCTATTATAGCTGTAAAAGTTTAAGACAAAGTCACAGGAAAGAGAACAGGAGCTCAATCTTGGCTCTCCATACCCTCCCGCCCTTGCCCCATCTTTCTCCATTTATCTCCCTCCCTGCCTCTCGGGGGACTCTGAAGTCATATTGTCAGGATGCCCTCTGCTTGGCACAGTGAAACATTGTGTCGGCTCTGTCCTCCCCAGGTCAAAATGAGTCCGGAGTTGCCGTGCACGATGACAGGATCTATGTGGTTGGAGGATACTCCATTTGGACCAACGAGCCTCTGGCATGCATTCAGGTGAGAGATCCAGCTTTCAGATTTAGCCTCGTAACAGTTGTGACACCTTTCTATGGATATTCTATTGATAATATGCTGTTCATCGATGAAACAATTGGTGCACTAATTATAAAATAGCCATTGAATTGAATGAGACATACCTGTATAGTTAAACCGTGGGCCAGACTGTTTCTGGGACACTGTACTTCTTTCTTTCCAGTTAAAAAGACTTTTTTTAATGCTGCCTTCAAGTGTTGTCATTAATATTGTATTAGATTACAAGTTCAATACACATGATAGCAAAATAAGGCTTAAAATGCTTACCAAAGTGTGTCTGTAGGGTTGTGAAGAGCATGGCTTGAATGTAATGCTGATAACCTATTAGTCTAATGTGCTTTTCCTGCTGTCACATGTGTTCTGCACTGCCTGATTTCTTTTCCAAAAATACTCTTGCTCAGGTAACCTCCACTGCAGATTGGTATCAAGAATGTACTCATGCATATAGTCTTCCAAGAATCTCTCAACTTTATGTGGTAAAGTTAAGTGGGAGAAGGACGCGGAGGGACATAACTATCAGAGGAAGAATGGTTAAACCTTCATCAAATACAACCCACTACACTCAGTTCTCCTGGAAGATAAGGGTTTTCATAACTCCAAAGATAAAAAAAAAAAAAAGACTGGTGTGGCAGACCATTGATCATTTAATGTCCGTCACTTAGAATGCAACCCTGTTGGCTAGAAACAGAAACTGAGATAAATAGCGGGTTTAGAGATTGATGATCGTTTCATCAGTCTTTAAAGCAACCAAACTTAAAGCTTGTGACAAATATCTTCCACAAATATTATTCGTAGCAAGTAAAAAAAAGCTACAGCGAAGAAATGAAAATAGAAAAATATACTATGGAGAGACAGATTTTTTTTATTTCTTTGTTTGACACTGTATTATTGCCCTTGAATGAAAAGAGCAGGGAAGAATAATAACACTTACTCCACTGTGCCCTTATGTACAGTATATGGTTTACCTCCCCCTCCCCCTCCCCAGCTCTCACTGTTTGTGCATGCTCTTCCTATGTTGGGTTGTAGCTGTATGCTCAGGTGACCTTGAGCAAGACACTGAACCCCTGGGTGTTCCCAGCGGTCAGGCTAGCACCCTGTGTGTGTGTGAATGGGTAAATGAAAGGCAAATTGCAAGCGCTTTGTCTGTTTAGGTAGAAAAACGCTATGTGAGTGCAGTCCATTGACCCTTTTATTTTCTCCCTCTCCGCTGTGTAAATGTAGGAGTGACTGCTGTAGGAACTGTTTGCATAGGGGGCATGTGAAGTGTGGGGTTTCTACAAGGCCAAATCTGTCTTTTGAATTCCAGTTGTGAGCTATAAGGAGCTTCAATGGACTTGGGGTGTCCTGCATCAGATGAGTTTTCCTGTTATTCTTAGGAACTTTTTATATAATTATCTGTCTGTATTATGTATTTTCTTATTTTCATCCATGCTTAATAGGCTTCTTTTTTGACAGATTCATTGTGTTCTTTTCCCTGACACTCAGCCATTGTTCTATCAGCTCTTTGGTTGTTTAACTGCATACTTTTCTAACGCAGGACGAGGCTGTGTGAATATAGCTTTAATATAGCTGTTCAGGTGTTCATCGTGCACTTTTCCTGTGAGATTTTTTTAACTTTATGTCTTAAATAATAATCAAAACTTTAAACATAACAGGGTAGTTTTCACAGAAATTAATGAAATGCAGAGACACTGGCCAATCGTGTATTAAAAAAAAGTGTTCTTTCACCTCTTAAAATCAATGCCTTTGGCGACTCCCTTGTGAAACTTTGGCAACCCTTAGTCGGGTTTGGAATGGTGGACTAAAGCAATTCCCATCCTTTGAACCATTATCCAATAGATTTGAAATCCTGTTTAACCATCCAATGGGAAAAGTCCATTTTAACTCTGATGAAGACGAAGGTGTAGAAACATTAGTCTGTTTGCACCATTAGCGGTTGCTGCTTGCATGGCTAAAACCCACTCCTGTTACATAACAAAAGTGTATAAGGAAATATACATATTACATTATATATTTCCTCTTTCCAGGTGCTGGATCTGAGCACAGAGGGGAAGGAGGAGGTTTTTTACGGGCCAACACTGCCATTCGCCTCCAATGGGATAGCAACCTGTTTCCTCCCTGCTCCTTACTTCACCTGCCCAAACCTACAGACTCTACAAGTACCCCATCACAGGATAGGGGCCGTTTAAACCACTGATGAACAAAAACGCCACAAAACACGAACATGTAAAACCAGAGGATGAAGGAGTCTCAACTCTGGACCGTCAGTATCTGCAAAGGTGACTGACAAAAATGTACCTGATCATAAGTAATCATTCTGGAACCTGCCATCTCTGTCGCACGAGTGTACGGGGATTTCTTTGAGACCCAAATGTAATAACAATACTATCCTGATCTACAAGAGCCATGGTATTCTGCAAGCTTCAAGGAAACTGAAAAAACAAGCAGCTGTCTCAATAATACAGCATATGTGTTGTATTTCCCCAAGGACTGAGACACCATTCATGATGTCCAGCGACGACACGACGAGCAAGAAGTAATAACTGCAGAGGGATTCAAATTCCCTAAGAAGACAGGAATAAAATGCCAATCCTATTACCAATTAAGTGACTTGTGGTAAGTGGACATTGCTGAATTGCTCAATTGTCCAAAGGAGTTCAAAGAAGTTGTCCTTTTTGTAACCCATCATAGGACTGTAGGAGCTTTTTCTCTGTATAATGTTTCCATCAAACCTCTATAATCACGTTTGTGGCCTGAAAAACATGCACTGGATGTTTTTCAAGATATAAAGGGCCAAGCCTTTTTTCTCATTCACTCGCATGTACGTTGAAATTCACAGATTTGGTTAGCAAGTGTCAAGAGCCTGACTGCATCAGTGCATAAATGACCCTGGATTTTTATTAAAATAAGGTGAAAATACTTGATTTCTCTGCAACAGCAGTGACACACTACTGTATGTGTGTATGTTATTGACCTGTGAGACTTTTATTATGCTCAGGACCTAAGACTGTTCAATTGAATGTCTGGTCGTTGCCATCATTCAGAGAATATCTGTTGAATATTCTACAACGGTGTGTATATGATATTGTAACACTCCATCATGATGATTTCACTGACCAAAAGAGAGAAAATGCAATCCCTGCACCTTTCCATCTCCCCAAAACATGTCTGAAAGAATACATGGAGCATTTTCAGAATAAAGAAATAAGAAATAAACAGCACTGAAATGGATTTTCACAAGGAGTGTTAATAGCTATGATGGGAGGAAGGTGGATTATTTAGCAGCAACAGATCACTAAACACTAAAACATCACCTCCACTGCTTCTCTTTTGCTTCTCCAAAAGGAATAAAGTACGGCAGAAAGCGGCTCAGATGAAGGGATGCATTGCAGTTTGATGAGGCTGGAAAATGACTAGCAATGACAGAAAATGGGACTTTGTGATTGTGGGAGACAGGAGTGAGACTTCATGTGATTAGGTGCAAACTAAAGCCGGATTGCAAGAGATTGCTGCGACTTGGAAAGGCGAGAGAGAGAATTGGAACAAACAGTACTCCTCTCCTTTACTCTTTTTTCCCCCCCGCCACTGAACTCTTTGGGCACGCCCACGACTGTCATCAAATCTATAATTCAGAGTGCCAACCGAGTAGAGACGGATCCAGCACCTGATGGTATAAGCACAAATAGTCTCTGCTCACTTCAGTGCTCACGTTCCTCACTTATAGAGCTGAAATGAAAAGGTGGAGAGACGGTACGAGCGCTTTCATATTTATTGTCACATTTTATTTCATTAATGCAAATGCAGAATGCACAATGCAGAAAGCTGCATGTTCTTTACAATATGTACATTATATACAACCTGCTGATATTGGGCTTATAGTTCATGATTGGAACATATCAGGCTTATGAACACTGAAGTTCAGCTGATAAGACATTTTTAAACATTCATAGTTGCATGTATCCATGCTTCTTTCCAGCATACATCAGCAAATTAGCTTTCAACATTATCCCAGTTAATGACATACACTAAACCCTCATGTTTTGTAAGATACCCTTGTAGGCAGCACTGTAAAGGCCTTTTCTGATAACCAAATGAAGATATTTGGCAAAAAAAAAAAGAAGGGTGGTATGACTAATACGTGGTTCTTGGAGCTGGCGACAGGTCTTGGAGCTGGTCCTTTTTTTTTTTTTTGAAATGTTTCAGTCCGCTTCCAGACTGGTTATTTCTGCCTGCCCACTCTCCCCAAGGAGGCACAGCAACTTCCTATATGCACTCCTGTTACACAGAGAGATGGGAGCAGTCACATTAGTGGACACATATAATAAAGCATAGAAATAAAGAAGATTTCCAGACCAGTACGTGACACCTGCTCATCGTCTAGACAACTTAAAAATAGCTTAAGGCGATGAAAGCAGTCTATGTGGTTTCCAGGGTGTGATTCATGTACTTGCTTACCTCAAGGCAATGTTCTTGCCCAGTCCTCTCTTGTGTTCCGTGTTTCTCAGGCTGACAGACAGGTTGGGGATGAGAGCTTGAACTACAGAGGGATCTAAAACAGCAACCGTCTCCAGGACACTGTATACCTGCCTGTCGTAGACTCCCTCATTCTCCTCCACAAACGACCTGTGAGCATTGGGATTACACAAACAGTGAAAACCATGGATACAAGGGGCTTGAGTGTAATATAGATAATTCTACTCTGTGCCTATATCAGGCTTTGTGCATCATGTGAACATCTCCACACAGCTCTAATACAGGTACACAGATTTATTTCTCGACATTATTGTCAATTACCGTAAGACAGTCGTCATCTGGTCACACGGTCCTTCTGTAGATGCAACAGCACATCGCTCCACCACAAGCTGTAAGGCATCTGTGCTCGTCTTCCTCACTGCACAGGAAAAAAATAAAAAACACAGCCCTTCCGTGATTACTATAAACACAAACTTGATTGTCAGATTGTGTTATTTTCTGTATAATTTGCCCCAAAGTGAGGTTTGATGAAAATGATAAGCATTGAGGATGTGTTTGCAACCAACTCGCTGATAGTAAGTACAATGATTATAGCATTTATCGAGCTGATATTGAAGTGAAGTCGCAGAAAATACAGGCCTGGTCAGATTTATTTTGAAGAACTTTGAGGAAAGAAAATGACTTTAAAAGCAACATTGTGCTACCATTTTAACTTGAAAATGTTTTCTGTTTTCCCTATCATGTCCTCTGGCTGCTCTGCCAGAGTTTCCTGATGGGAAAAAAACTTTACTTGTTGCTAAAGTAGCTTAACAGCAAACCATAGCTGCTGTTAGCTAGTTAGCTCAGTTAGCTGTGGAGTTTGCCGACTCTGACGGTGTAGGTGAACTGCAATCCAAAACTGCCAAATAACAACAAATACAGATTCTTGCTTAATGTTGCTTTAACATTTGCTGTGATTACATGCACACAAAGAGACATACATGTGTATGAAGGACAAGTCATTACTGTGTTACTGATAACTACAGGTTATTCACTGAACCGTGGTCCTTTGAGTAGCTCACATTAGGAATGTTTCCTGTATGACATTATCAGAAGCATCAGAGGAACATATAGCCAGTCAGGATAAGCTGGAACCAATGGCATGAATATCAGGGAATGTAGAGACCCTCCCCCTAATAACTGGGCCGACACCAAAGCACGCTTTACTTTCTACACATGAGCAAGGAGGTCTTGTATTACTCAAAGAACTGCGGTTATGTAGATAACTGAAAGTTCTCTTTCATAGTATTCAGTTTGTTTCTTTTACTGTTAAATGCTAGACGCGGATATTCTGAAGACCAATCAGGGCCACGCTAGATGAGCCAAAGGATGCCCTCTATATCAAAATTTGGAAGGCACTCATACACAGTTACAAAAAAAAAAACAAGCTACTAAGCTCCAGATTATTTTGTGCATGAGCATGATCTTACCCTGCGGTTCGTTGACCAGCATCAAACAGCGCAGCAGAGAGGGGAGGGGCAGAGTCAAGAGGGCGGGGTCTGAGTCACTGTTTCGTCTCAGAAGCTCCGAGAGGAACATCAGCACTGATGCTAGCCGGGGCGGGGGGGCATGACCCTTAAACTGCAGGAAGCTCCCACTGTAAAATCAGAAAGGGACACTTCCAGTAACATTGAGGTCTGAAGAAGAATTGCACAATTCAAGAAATCTATTTGTAGAGAAACATAATGAGAGACAAGAAATCATATTAATAAGAATGTGGTCAAACAACATCTACTTCTAGAGACCTACCAGAGCACCTCCAGGATGGTCTTCCTCAGTGCTGCTCCCCGGGTGGTTGGGTTCGTTTCACAGGCACTCAGAAGCACTGGGTGGTTGGCAATGATGCCCATGGAAGGTGAGGCGGGAAGGAAATGGTCCAGATATCTGCGGGTAACAGAGCGGAGCTGCTGCTTCAGGTAGACACCCTGAGACTGAGACACGCTGGAAGCCACTGACAGCCCCTGCAGGAGAATACATTTAAACATGAACAAACAGACATGAGGGATGAAAGGGTTTTGATTAGGGTTTCAGGTATCTTTCATAACACCTTTAAGCCTGCTGTTTTTCCTGATTGTCCAAGACGTGTGTTTGTGACTCAGTGTACAATATATGTTTGCCTCTAACCTGTAGATATAGAGGCAGGCTGTCCCTGAGTGCTTTGTCCTGCTGTGTGAGGTTGTGGGGAAGCAGCATCCCATCCACAATGCGAAACAGCAGCTGCTGGGCTTTAGATGTAGCCAGCAGGGGGCTCCAGTGCTTCACTATGCAACCTGAATCGGTACAACAGAGAAGCAGATTCACAACTGTAATAATCCCTTACTACTGTCTGTGACTCCCACCACACTGTAAAGATAAAGAATCAAAGTACCCCTGAAGCTTTGTCTACTGTATAATGTCTTTGAAGTACATGGGCTCTACACCTACCAACAGCCCAGTAGGCCAGCTGCAGCCCCTCTTGGTTCTTGCTGACCAGTATGGGTTTAATGTGTTTCAAGATGTCACCGATGTAGTCCAGGGCTCTGGTCACCATGGCTGAACGCTCTGACAAAACCTGCAGTCCACTGTACACGCCGCCTACAGCCTGACACCATGAGAGAGCAGATAAGAAAATAAATGTATGGAAATGTTTGCATGTAAATACCGGCTGCCATAGTAGAGACTAGATGTGACAGTGATATGCTAAGTATACATCACATATAGTGCAACCTGAGTAAAGGCGGAGGGATGAGTTTTACTAAGATATACTGGAGTACTGTAGGTCTTCTACAGTGTAAATCATAGACATTCCACAGAAGGTGCACTTTTTCTACTGTAGCTGACAACAGGCAATATCTCACTAAATCTACAATTTATTTAAACACTAAATCCAAGACTAATTTACACCATAATACAGGGTTTACCTTCATTAACACCATTAATAAACCACAGTGTATTTTATACCTGTGAGCATTACCTTGACAAACATCTCCAGGACTGATGTGGGCTCTAGTCTGGTGGCGGTGGGCTGGAGGCCCGTTCTCTGCAAAAGACTGTCCACCTCAGGAAGCCTCAGCACAAGCCGGGTCAGTTCACACAACTGCTCCTCCACGGCCCGGCCTGGAAGCAATACAGGCGCAAACACCAGGTATTTCAATAAGAATGTATACTTTATCTTTAATGCAAGACAGACAGGTAAGCAAAACCAGATTGTTCTCCACAAAATCGGTTTGAGCCGGAGCAGACTTAGCTCCATGAAGCTTTAGGATTTGCATTTGAGTACAGCATCTCACCAAGAGTTAATAAAATTCTCCAATCTTTACTGTCTGGGATACACATATGAATTCCGTGATATGCCAGAAATTCCACATATACATGTATCTGAGGACATTTTTCCTGATGTGCAACGAATGGTTTATTTATCACATTGTAGACTCAGTGACATTACCTGTTCTGCTGTCAGACCCATCTGGGTTCTTGTGAAGGTGCTGCTGTAGCACACAGCGGAACCAGGCCCTCACTGACAGGCTTTGTGCCGAACCGGACACAACAACTGCAGAATCACTGCTTAGTGAGGACACCAGCTCACTGGAAAAGACAGAGACAGAAAGTCCTTTCACACAAATATAAAAGGTGTAGTTGGATGTACTGTTCTTCACTGTTGATTTACTGTAGGAAGACATATCAAACATTCAATATGCACGTGGGAAGTTTGTCATAAGTTTGTCCATGCTGTATACCTAAGTTCACTTAATATTAATATCAGTGTTAACATTCACATGTTATGTGTCATTGGGCTGAAGTGGTCACATATTTTATATTCTGATGTGAGAATGTCTATGTGAAATCATAAATCTTTATCTAAAAAACAATGCAGAAACATAATAAATGTCTCTTCCCATCAGATTTGACATACAGTTTTTAATGATGAGTCTGGAAGGATAGAGGGAGGTGGACGTTGCTGTCTAAGGTGTGGTAATTTAATGAAGTTTTCACATGAATGAAACCATTACTTCACTGTATAAATTACATATTGCTAACAGCTCAAACATTAGTGAATGGAGGCTTGGCAGGCTGGTACTTCTAAACAATAAATACCAGGAGTGTCCTTGTTCTGGCTTTATATTCAGGTGTAGCACCATAATATCACTTGGCACTGTCTGAAGAGGACCTTTGAGGGTGAAATAGTCACAATGTTTTGTACCCTTGAGTGTAATTTTGAAGATGCACCACATTTTGTATTCCGTTTAGAGGCATGGCTGCAATTTCTTCATTAAAACCTAGTTTGATAATACCAAGGACGCTCATGGTCTAATTTATTAATTAGATACCACCCAATACACCTACAGGACATCTCGAAAACAATTTTGTCAAGTGGTGTCAACCATGATGAAGCTTGATAGCTAAGAGGTAACAGAAGTGTACATCATCCCGCTGGAATGATGTGATGTTTTCCCATAAAGAGTGATGTGATAAAAATGATATGTGTTTGAGGTAGAGGCACAGGGGGTAGATCTCAAAGGCTAACTGTACCTGTTTTGGAGCAGATGGGGAAGGTAGCGAGTCACCAGAAGTGGGTGAACCATGTCGTCCCAGCCGAAGCATTGCATGATGGACTGGACTGGGTTAGGCTGAAGGTCCTGGGGGGCAGAGTTGGGCAGATCAAAGGCCAACAGGGTGAAGCCTGGGGGAAATGAAATTATTAAAATTTTGTTTGAATTGACTAGAAAGTTGATTAAAGTGCAGTGTATGAAGTGTAAGGATGTGTCTGAACTTATTCCTCTAGATCATTTCTTTTACCATGTACTGTAAATACCTAAATCATCTTTTCTCCTCCCTAACTACTACTAATGTTTTCTGCCAAACTGCCATTCAAATTCTCTGCCTTCATGTGAAATTATCAGTATCAGTGGTCACAATTCCAAAACTCTTTCCTGCTTTCCCCCACCCTGTCCTTCTCAATCCCTTTCTTCCCTCCACTCAGTGTCTTTATCCTCCCAATGGGCATTACTGACCTGCAGCAGCATCTGCCAGCTGTGCTGGAGGGGTCTGAGAGAGGCGTAGGCTGCGCAGGAAGGGAAAGAAATGCGCCCAGAGAGCTGCTGCTACCGCTAGGTGGCGCTCTTTCACCATACTGGTGGTAGCAGGAGCCCATGCCGAGGGGGGTGCTGAGTGGACACTGCGCTGATGGACCCGTCTGGAAGGACACAGACACACATACACAAAGAAAGCAGATGAACAATTCTATCCGATGCTAAATCCAAACACAGCGCTTTGTACAACGACACACACCCTCCAACTCCGCCCTCTACTTTCTGAAATCCTTTAGCTCCCCCGATTCTCTCTTTCACTCCTTCTTCATGTGTTTTTTTCCTCCCTTCTCTCCTGGGGGATTACTGGGTGCGGCGGTGCGCTGCAGTGTGGAGGTAGAGGTGGGGAAGGAGAGGAGGATATTATAGGCGTATAGTGGAGCCTAATGCTGATCCCCTGTACACAGGCTATACTTTGGCTCCTCTGGCTCATCCCTGGCCCTGGCCCCAGCCGCTACAGCAGCCCCACAGTGGCTGGCATTAGCCCAGATAAGCAGCTGAAGGAGCTGTAATCTCATTTAGACTGGAGATGATCCTCCTGTCCCCCTCATTCGCCCGGATGGGGGTGTGGGGAAGCAGGGTTGAGGTGTGCTGGGGATGGAGGAAAGGATAGAGGAACTAGTAACCCCCCCCCACTTTCTATCCCATCCTCAACCACGCACTCTAGTCTGCTACTATGTTACACACACATACACACACCTCAGCGGTGCCTTCCCTTCCAGCAAGGTTGCATCTAATCCAGAGAGAGCTGAGACAATCGATTAGAGTCTGAATTCATTAGCCTCGTTACTACTGCGGAATGGGCCTTTCACACCCATCAACCCTCATTGTACAAGACATCGTCAGAGACCCCACTTAATCCTCCTCACTGCGGCTTCTTACATAGTGTACACACAAACACTCAACGGCAACACATCATTAGGGACCCTGTTTAACCCTTCCCCCAGTAGCATCCAACATACAGACGCACATAAAATAAAATATAGCATCCTAATAATGACAGAGGCTCATCACCCAGGCACAAGCTGAACTTACTCCATGTCCAATCTCAGTCTAGTGTTGTCCATGCATCTCTATCAAAAAGTATAGCTGTAACTGTTACTAATTTCTCATAAGCAACCTAACAGTAGTTGTCCTTGACTTTGAAAAGAAAGGCTCAATATCCGGTAAAAGGTCTTTATGCTCACAAAGGAAAATGCTTAACAGGGAGGTTTGTATTATTTTCAAGCCAAGGAGATGGGGATTAATTGTTTGTACCGAAAACAGATCCAACATGGTGTGCCAATGCCAGCTCACCTCATCAACCAGCGACACCCCCCACTCCTCCCACAGCAGAGGGTCATGGGAAGGAATAAAACTGAGGAATTATGCCTGGGACTGGCGTCTTGCCTCAGCACCATGGCGATGGCTATCAAGATTGAATGTTCGGACCCTCCACTGCCTCAGCCATTGGCAGAATAATTCTCTTAATGTGTGCAGATTCCACACGGCTCTCAGTAGACATAATGATGCACAGGCTAAATTTGCCAGGCTACATAATTGCCCATTAATTGTGTCACAGAAAAGGCATTAATCACAAAGAGATACCGAGAATTGCCAGGCCGAAGAATTATGCTTAATTTGGCGGGACGGATTTGAAAGAGAGAGCATGGTATTTTTTTTATTTGGTTAAATGGGTCAGCGTCGTCCGGGCCATAACACAGGGGGCCTCTGGGAGTTCTCTTCTTCTCTCTCCTTGGCCATTAATGTGCAAATGTGTGCCCTCCAACCCCGAGATCTGAGATGGGAAGTTTGGGAATTAGCAAACCTAACGAGATATCATGTTATGGGAGCCCGGCATTGAAATAAGGGAAAAGTACACTTAGGTTAGTGTTTCACTTTTGGTGTGTGGGCAGGTGTGTAGGTTAGTGTGTACGTGCAGGGTGGAGAGGGTGGGATGTAGACACTGGAGAATTAAAGCAATCATACACCTACATGTATCAGCAAGAGGGCTCGGCAACACTTAACTTTACAATGTCATTCTAGTGTTTCAGCTCATTTATTAACCTTTTGTAAGCAAGTATAAACTGGCAGTAATACTTTCATTGCTTAGTAAAACTCCTGACAAAGACAGTATATTTCTAGGGGCCTCAAAACTATTTAAGAATACATACATATTGAGAAATGGAGTGAAACTGGGCTGGATATCAAACCTTAATACTGTTTTGGAAATGACTTTCCTTAATCTTTGATCCTTCAGGATCTGAGTTCAAGCTTCTCTAGTAAATATTTTCATATCAACAATGAACCCACAGGTTATTATCACTTAATTATACAGCTTCACTCAGCTATATGGAGTGTTTTAGCAACTTTCTGCTCATTGTTTCGGTTTTACAGCCTGCCTTCACTGTTTCACTCCCTGCTCTCATCAGTGTTGTTTCCAGCAGCTGCCAGTAGCCTATTCAGCAAAAAAGACGGATACACAATGTTAGCAGCTAAAGAGCCAAATATTCCCCTCAGGAGTTGGTGGAGGCCAAAACAGAGGTTAAAGGAAGGTGAATTTGACATTGGCCAGGTAGCCAGACGCATGACTGCAAATATGCCAACATGGTGTTTACAGCTTGTTGCGCCGCCCGTAGAGGCCAAACAATGAATGCAGGTTTATTACAACTTTGCCAGTTTATAGACTGTATTTTATTGAAACAATGTTGTGGGAGAGCTACTTCTGTTAAGATTTTGATTTGTTGTTTAATGGTAATAAGGATTTGTTCTAAAAGTGAGGTATCAAAAACATTATTGTTCTGTTATCAGTACAGAAACTCAGGTACTGTATCAACACTAAAGTGAAACATTTTTAAAAGATACTCAGCCCTAGTAATTCCTCATTTTACTTTCATGAAGGCAGTTGTTGTACTTCTAATATTGCACAGTTGTGTTAACACTGCTATCATGACTAAATTTGGACTTTTGCCATTCTCCAAGATTTCAATGACATTTTAAATGTATTGCTGTAACTGAGGACACATATCAGGAATCTCTCATGAAATGTTTAGTGCTCTTTTGGCACAAACTTCCTGCAGTTATTGTGTTCACTATTTGGGTTCATTGTACAGTTTATCAGTTGTTCTGTATTGTTATTGTTGTGCTTTGAATATAATATGAAATATCCATAAAATATGTCACCTAGTCACTCTATTAAAGAATATTAAACTTAAATAAGTATAGTTATTTGTTTAAAAAAGCAGCCTCCCAAGTACTTTTGCATACTTTTCTCTCAGAAAAGGTCTATTTTCATTCCAGCTCAAGATTTCACTATATTGGCTGCCATATTGGCCATTGGTGAATTTTTCCCTTCTAAAATCGGTGTGGGCCTCAGACATCCCATACTGATTAGGCTCTATTAGGCAATTTTAAGCATACCAAGTACAACTTGCTATAATGATGGGTTGGAAAGTAAGGGTTATTGCAACCTTTAAGGCTGGCAAGGAAGGAGACATTCAGCTCTTTAACACCAGATTCAACTGAGAATCTACAGTAAAAGATCACACATCATTCATCACAGACCTTCCAGTCTCACCTGATTTGTATCCACTGTCGCTTCTGTTCCCGCCTCCCCACATAAACAGACACTGTTTCAGCTGTGGCTCTCTGACCTTCAGCTGGGGTCGATCGTGTAACAAACACCTGTGTCCTACAGCTGAACCTGTCCTGACGCCCTACTGACCATAGTCTCTCAACACGCCCACAGCGCTGCCACCGTCCCCATGACGACAAGAGGGTAGACTGAGGGTCCCATGGGTCTGTAACTCTACTCAGAGCTCCACCAGCACCTGGTTAGGGTGACCTGGGGGCCACTAGGTCTACTGAGACTAACAGGGGCCTCAACGCAACACAGGGTCTTTACAGACACTCATTCCTGCTGACAGCACAATCCGCCTATTGTCAGTTTGAGAAGTGAGTGGACTCTGGGCTAGGTTGGGAAGAGCAGAAGAGATCACTCTCCTCTGCTGTAGCCACTTATCAGATTTTAATAAAAGCTTAGCTTGGCCTTGGCCAGAAAGCATTTGTCTGAACGTGTCCACTATCTGTGAGGGAACAGCTATCAGTGAAAGGAAAGAATGAGAGAAACTGAGAGAAAGTAAGAGATACCTGGGAGCTGGTGAGTATTTACACCAACTGTCTCACCTGAGCTGGGCAAGAACAATCTGTAGGAAGCCCAGGGCGGAATTCAGCTCTGATATGCGGCAAGCAGGCAACAACCAATCAAATCCTTCGTTGAGCAGCTTCTCCTCTGATAGGCTGAGACTGGTGCTCGTCTCGAACACCTCAGCCACACCCTCCAGGTATGAGCCAAGAGGCCCCCAGAGAGCAAGTCTGCGAGAGACCTCTGTGGTCTTATTGTAAAACTCTTTGGCTGTCTCATTAAAGGAGGCGGCCAGCCAGCTGGCCTGTGCACCAACATCCAGACCCCTCTCCTGGAAAAACATTACAAATGATGTCAAAAAAATAAATAAAATAAAACAAAAACTGGTAGAATTTGTATATCAGAAATTGCAACAATACACTTCCAGATTACATTTCCGATTAACAAATATACCTGGAACAACAACAGCAGTGATAGCTGTCCCCTCCAGACCAGGGTACGGTGCCCAGGGGGGCAGTTATTGGGAAGGAAGCCCAGCAGTTCACAGGCTCTGCTGGCCACATCCTCCAGCTCCACCTGCTTGGCCACCACCAGAAACAGCAGCAGGAAGTTCATGAGGCCTGCCTCTGACAGCTCCTGCATCTTCTTTGAGGAGAACTTTGAATAAATCCTGGCAACATAAGAAGAACATTGAAGTTTTTAAAATGTGACCTAAGACATGGTCAGCTATTGGTAAAAGTGAGTCAGAGACAGGGAAGTGATCAAGATTACAGTGTCTTATCTTTACACTTATCCAATATCATTTTTTTCTTTTATTTTCGCTGACCAACTCTTGATTTGATTTGTTCTTCTGAAACCCCTGACTTTAAATGCTGACTAACTGAACTTTCCACCCCCACCGTGCACAACACCACCAGCCTCCATCACCCTCTCAGCTTCAAGGCCTCTGTGTGTGTGTGTGTGTGTGTGTGTGTGTGTGTTTGTATGTGGGTGAGAGTGAAAGAAAAAGCAAGAGAGGGAGTAAGCAGGATCAGCGTGCTGGGTGGTTCTCTCACCCAGCACGCTGTTAGATCCTGCGGGCACTGTGGAGAAATGCCTTTAAAGATCATGTTAAATGTCAGAGACACTCAGACACACAGCAGTAGGCGCTTGGTCCCTCTCTCTACAGCCAAACCAATTTACTGCAACACCAGAGAGAGATCAATAAAACCACACACACACACAGACACACAGACACAGACACATACACACACAGCTTGCTGTTTGCTCGCCTGGCAGGGAAACACAGAAGGCTGGAGCCCCCCTCTTTTTACACCCCTACTCCCAAACACAGATGCAGCCCACACAGGTGAGTAGAGCTGCTGTTTGGGTCAAAACACAAACAGCGAGCATCCCAAGACAAACTCAGTGTAAGAAGTGTGATGATATAAAGGAGTGGAGAAAAATCGAGAGAGGAACTGAGAAAGACCAGGTTAACACCAAAATCAGCTTAGTTACACCCACAGAGGACTATAAAAGGAGAAGGTGGCCAAGCATGCAGTCAGAGTGTGAGGGGAGGGAGATTTAAATAGATGAATGGGTAATATGTAACAGGGATATAAGCAGCGCGCTGGGAGGCAGCAGTGGGGATTTTCTGTGTTCTCCCAACCTGTCTGTCTGTTTGTTTATTCCGGACAGCTTTTTTTTCCGGAGGCGAGCAGATGCTCCTAACTCCCGGCGTTGGAGATCAACATGCTCGCAGTCGATCCCATTAATGCGGTCGTCGCGGGTGTCCCGCAGAGCCCGGCCAGGAGCAGGAACGCTGCCGAAACGTTGTAGCGATACAGTCGGCACGCCTGACGCCTCCTGAGGGGGAGGAGGTAGTGGTGAGGGAGGTGGAGGGGAGCCGGGGGGGGAATCTGGACCTGTCCCAGCCCAGCCTGGCTGTTGCCAGACTGCGTACCACCCACATCTCCCCACCACCCAAGCTCCCCTCTCTATCCGTGTTGGAAACCAACTCAGCTTCGTTAAGGCGAATTAACCGCCACGCTCGTTAGCTAATTAGCCCCCATGTCTGCAGTGCTACTGAGCACATTCCAGACAGAGGGAAGTCATTAGGCGGATTTATCTGCGGCTGCCTCTCTCTGGCGCCCAGCCGGCCTGGGATATAGGATGGTCCAGCGCTCGGTTCTGATGTGCACATTAGCTTGTGATCTTTCCTCTCCTCTTTCTTACTTTGCCTTACAAAGACACACTCACCCTCCATCCAGTGGCCTCACACACACTCTAAAACCATGTCACTGCTCTAGGGAGCAGGTGCACTGTGTGTGTGTGTGTGCTTGTGTGCATCAGTAGGAGGCTCCTTGGCTCTGGTCTGTGCTGAAGAGCAGGTGGTTGACTCCTGAGACACCTGCTCCACTGGGGGGCCTGAGTAAATATCAAAGACGCACTGGGAGACCGTGGTGCACCTGGCACGCACACAAACAAGACTGAAATGCATGCTAGGGTGCAAACACACATGTTGTTTGTGTATTCATGCAAGTATGCACCTAAATACACACACAAATCCAAACAGCACACTAAACACATCACACATTAGAAGATCAAGGGGAAACGGGAATCCTACAAAGCCTAGTCCTGATTAGTAATCATTTCTCACAGCTTCTATTCCATGTTATCTCTTTTATCTTCCTTCCTCCAAAAAAAAAGTATATACTATACGGTGAGTCAACTGCCTGGCTGAGACCTACTTTTCCTGGTGGAAGCGAATGTGAAGGAACGAGAACTACAAAGCCTCCCAGCTCTCTTTCCATCCTTACCTTCCTTTGATCTGTCTCTGTGGGACTCCGCCAGCCCTGTCCTGGGCGAGGCACAGGGCCAGCACTCGCAGGAAGATCTGGAAGGAGTTGGCCGAGCGGTAGAGCTGGGTGTGTCCTGGAGAGTGGAGGTGAGAGGGGGAGCAGCAGCTGCGGGCCTGGTCCAACAAAGCCAGGGGCGTCTTGTACAAAGTGCCCATGCCCGACATCCCGAGCCAGGGTACAGTGAATGAAGCACTCTGGGGCACAGGTCGAGAGAACATAGTGTAACTGTACAGACCTTGGTGATAACCTATAGGCAAATTTGCTACATGATTTATCTGTATGGCTGCATGACCAACTAAAGCAGCCTGTTTAATAAATAAACAAGACAAAGAATTAGAAGTATCTGGTAAATTAAAAAAAACAACTAATATCTAAAAGATCACAGATAAGCAATAACCCCTTACTTTCTTACATGTAGTAAAGCTATCAGAATTGCAGTAACAAAATAAAAGTGGAACATTCAAGACAAACAAATGAAAGAATATGACATATCTCAAAAAGTGGTAGTAAGGTTAACTGGAACAACTAAAGAAAGGTGGTCTGATTGTAGTACATATGGTTAAAATAAAGCAACATATAAGTTTGAGCAACCATTCGTCTGTATTACACCACAGCATTTCATTTCTTAAGTTTCCTCACCAGATTCTTGCTGTAGTAGTCCCAGAGGGTGGAGACAGCACTGGTGCTTGGTTCCCACAGCAGACAGAGACTGAGACAGCAGTGGACATGCATCCTGACCTGCTCCTCTGCTAGACCTCCCTGTTATTACACACATACATGATGTTTAATTTACTATTAAAATAATAAAACTATTGTATAATTGTGTAACTACAAACTAGAAGCAGTGCTGACCTTGGGGTTGCAGGTTAATTTGAGCAACTCTTCCACAAAAGTCCAGTTATCCCCAAGATGTTTCTGTGAGCGCAGATAAAAAAAAAGGCAATACATTTAAAAACAATAATGAACAATACCTATTAATGTTTTTATAATCATACTGTAAGTATGGGAATAATTGGTGTCACTGAGCATTCATATTTAAGACTGAAATAGACAAGGCCTGCTATCGGAGTACCCACTCCAGATAATACAGAGACTCTGTCACCATCAGTCTCAGACATATTTCTATGAAACGTCTGATGTAATTTTTCCCTTTTCACTAAGGTGTCTAGTTTTGGCACCTTTCTTTATTAAAGTGTCAAGACAAATTAGTTCTCAAGATTTATTTTAGAACTGCAGAAGCCTCTTGGATGAAAGGCGAAATTTCTTCAATCTATAACATCTGTGAAGAATTTTTTTTTGTCTTTACGTTGCACAACCTGGATGAAGTAGATGCACATACAGAAAAAAACATAATCAGGTAAAATAATGTTATTATTATCTAAACTGAGGTTCTTTAAGACTTGTAAGGTATGTCTGGTGAGACAAATGCATGTGGTTAAATGTGAGATGTGAAAAAATCCCAGTTTCCCCAGTCAGAATTACATCTCTCATTATTTCCTAGTTAGTAACCCTGTCACTTTTATGTTTATGTCCAGGTTATTTTCCAGTGTAACATCTGAAGGTATCAATATTGTGATTCCCCATCTCTTACCTCGTTCTGGAGTGTGCCGTTACGACTGTACTGCCCTAACATTGCTAAATGAGTGACCAGCCACCATGCGAATCCCAGAGGGTCCTTACAGTGCGTGGGGAGGCCACTGAACTGCTCTGCTGCCGGCTTGGGTAAAACCAGAGGCCTCAACAACGAGTTCATGTAGCTCCAGAAAGACTAGAGGGAAACGGAGGTTGGTTCATTTAGTATGGCAAGACTATAATTTTATTGTATGACTGTGAACATGTGTTATTTGTGTTACCTGTGTGTGCAACACTTTATTCCTGTATTCCAGAAGGTGCATGAGCAGGACCCACAGCTCTTTGGTGCAAGAGCAAAGGTAGTGATGGCTGCTCAGTGCCTCTGTAGGCCTCACCTAGAAATCAAAAGGATCCATTTAACATAGTAAACTCCCAACTGCAGCTCTGTTCTACATAAATACAAGGGGCCTAATTCTGACATGAAGATTATGCAATTAGTTTGATCAAATTTTGCAATACTCAGCATGCAGAAATGTGGTTTATTACAACATTTAGTGGGAATGTCACTTCAGGATTTCTTATCCGCAGCTTCAACTGAGTACCAAATCTGGGAATTAACATATTCACTAGCAGGATTGCAGTTTTTTTCAGCTAAAAAAAAAAAACCTAGAAATCTCACTGATACATCCCAACAGTAAGATGTAATGAGTTGTGGCCAGCCGCCCACCTTGCTGTATTTGCCTATGGCAAGACCAGTTAGGTCACACAGCAGACTGCACAGGTGCTCTTCAAACAGACTGGTATCAGTCAAGTTCTCTCCCGTCAGGTTCACAAACTGGTGGGCGTACACCACCTGGCCTGGAGAGAAGAACAGGTAATATTACAACAGCCTGCTGCCATGATAATGACTCACTATGAGCTGAAAGTCAGAAGATTATTGCCCACTGTGGTAGTTGTTAGATGTCACACACCAGCCTGTGCACAATCTTTTAAACTGTCTTGTACATAGAGAGAATATAGTCTCTGTAGCAGTATTCGTGCAACAATTCCACACTTTAATGTTATTACAGTTTTCCTCCCATAATAGGTTTTAATAGTGTTTCCAATAATGCAGGTACAATCAGTGTATCTCTAACTACAACATAATACAAGTAGCAATTCACATGTCAGTATCTTTAGTTTCCATTTCCAAGGATCGGAAATATACCTTGAATCTTGTGACCAAGCAGGTGAAGAATCTCCAAGACTGACCAGTGGATGTCGAGATGAAGGTGTAACAAATGCCAAGGGGGAGGAAAAATCTGTGGGAGGAATACAGAGCACCAAGTTCAATGACAGTAGCAGAACAATGAACTAAAAGACTTCTGAATGTATAGTAAGAGGTTCCGGGTGATGAAAACTCTTAGTTAAGGCATATGAAAAAACTGTGGTCATATGAGTCATTCCTCATAACAGCTTATATTATTACATTTATGCCATCCACGCTTTTGTGTCCCTGTTTCAAAGCATTTTCTCATTTAGAACAGCACCTTTCCCTGGTTAGATATGGTGAAAGCACTCTGAACGTTGGCATGCAGGTCTTTGAGTCGTCCTATGAGGAGAGTGATGCCAAACAGCTCCTCTAGAAGAGCAGAGGGGAGCTGAGCCTCCAGCTCCTCATAGGGGTGTGGGTGAGCTGCATCCAGGAAGCCGGAAGGTTCCAGGTATCTGAACAGATACAAAAGGACATGCATGCCCAAATAAACAAAGAAATGCAGTAAAAAGCGGATGAACATGACATTAAATAAATGGTAGAATGTATGTAATGTATGTAACTACCTGTGCAAGAAGACTTTGACATACTGAAGAAATGAAACACACTGTTGTCTGAGGTCCTCTGCTTCATAGTGGAGTTTGCCTGCTTGACCTACAACACAGAAGGCATGTTGAAGGCAGTATTCCTAACAAAGCACAATGTTACACCCATATTTATATCTTTATCATTTGTCCCTGTAACTTTGGGCACTCTTTCAGCTAGCCAGTTACGTATACACACAACATATAACCCCAGTCAAACTGTGTTTTACCATGTGTTATTGGGCTACTTAGGATCAACATTTTAAAATATTCAATAACTAAAATATATTAAATTGGTTTTAAATATCAAAGTAAATTAAAACATTTAAAAGTACATTCTATACTTCAGTAGGGCATACAATTTAACTGACTTAAACGTCTTTCAGCGCTTGAACTTTAGCAGCTACTTCATTCGCTTTCATCTCTCTCTTCAGCAGACAGCTGCCACAGAGGGCCCAGTCCCAGAGTGCAGGGCTTAACCTATACCCCATCTTGCTGCTGCTTCCTACGAATACGAATCATACTAATCACTAGTAGGCTTGTACTGTATGTTGCATGTGTACGGTCTAGGCTAGCAAGACTTCTCAGGAAAATGTTGCCCACATTTCAGCAAGGATAATTTTAAGTTCATAATTTCAGAAGTCTAAGGGAGCATCCTCAACTTTTTATCTGACCCTTTTCTAGATGAAAATAAATAGATAAATAGAACAGACTCTCTGCATTTGATATTTTAAAACCCCAACTTCCTGTTTAAACAACAAACACTTTCTGACTGTTTGCCAATGTACATAAAAAGTATCTGGCTAACACATCAGACATCTGTTTATGTAAGCAAATAATGGTTTACTGTATGGACAAAATACTGACATGAAAACTTTTATTAGCTGAACTGCGGATTACAGATTGCACAAGCTTACCAAAGTCATGTGAGCTGGACTGCACCATGGTCTCCAGCTTGTAAACATTTTGTCTGAAATATAGCAAAGACCAATTAGGACGAGGACAAATTATATTGGGAGTATAAACGCTCAGCTGTCTAAAAAATATTCAGTTTCTAAGCATTTGCTGCTATGGAAAATGAACTTCAGATTATGGTGGTTGTAGTGACTTTGATTAACATTATTAACATTAAAATTTTGCTTATTTTAAAAGTAAACTTAACTGAGATCTGGTTTACATCCTTGCTTACCTGAACAGACCAAAGAGTAGCTTTGTAGATTCCACCAGTGCTGTCTCTGTTACCCAGGGGAAACCAAAGATCTCTACAGTGTCTGTCTCATACTCTGCAGGGGCTGGGTCAAGACGCAACAGCAGCCTAGGAATCGGATGTAGTCACATCGGTTAATACTTTATTTACTAAGATTTTTCTGCCACTGAGAATTTTGATGCCACCCCATTACGATGCAGCTGACTGGGATTTCAGTTGTTGTGTTCAAAGCATCAAAAACTGACCTTTGAAAACACTGAACAGCAGTCTGTATTTCCAGAAAAATGACCCAGCTACTCAGGATAATTCACAGATGTTGCTGTCAACAGTTTTGATTAGGACCATTTCTCTGGGACAAAATACATAGTGAAAACTGTTGACCTCCAAGTGTGAAAATGTGTTTATTTTTGTGATAATGGTGAACTGACAGCAACTGTACCGTTTCAGGGAGCCTCTAGCAGTGTATCCCTCTGTGGAGAGTGCTCCAGTGGGGTCCTCCTTTGTTTCAGAGCAGCAGAAGCATGGTGGTTGGACTGGAGTCAGTTCACATAAGCTGTCTGCTGCGAATGGAGAGACTGGTGGGGTGAGGGATTGGCTGAAGTCGTCTGCCATGCTGCCAGTGCAGAATCAGTATCACCTTAAATGACATTGTGTTGAGACAACATGTTACAGTAGCTGCATACAAATGTAGCCGGCATTAACATGCTGTACTGAGAGGATGTACTATTAAAGAAGCAGATTAAACTTAGTTAAATATCAATATATAACTAGGCTATTTTATATATGTTAAGATATTGCTACATTGTATAAAATTACAATAAAACACAGCAAATAACGCTACGCTAAGTCAGAACTGTGTAACCTTAAGTAATATGTTAGCAAAAGGACAGCTGTCTATCTGACGTAACATTACGTGATGTTACTAGTCAGTTCATACACACAGAGAAAACATAGCAAGCTACTTCTCAAGACACGAGTGTGTACCGACAGCGGTTATAAAAGGGTAATTCTCTCCACATCCTGTGTGTATATAACATAATGTATCAGTTAACATGTATTTGCTGGTAAATAAGGCAACATCATGTTAACTAGCGTTAACTAGCTCTGTAGTAGCTAGTGTGTGCTTAACATGTTGAACGCAGGGTTCGCGTTAATAAACTGAAATAGCAGGGTTATTAACAGGCAGCAGTACCTCGAGAAAACACAAATGTCCTTAAACACTGACAAACCTTGTATTTCGGCTTCTTATGTGGTTTAATATTCCGTAAATATAGAGTGAAGTATGAGGATTACATTGCTGCCATACTCCGTTGTTTGGGTTTTCATTCTCTCCCGCGCGTCCACATCACGCATGCGCAAACTTGCCCCGCGCCTGTTGATTGGTCCGAAGTTTCACAGTGGGCGTGGTCCTGCCGACAGACAACAAGGGGTCTGTTTCCTTCTGGCATTATTTCTCCAGGTAGAGTGGTGAAAGAGAAGATCCATTTTATATATCTCCAATGGGGAAATGAACCTTTGTTCAGAAGTCTCATGCTTGTTTTAACGTCTTTATTTCTCGAAAGGTTTGTAAAAGAGCGAATTAAATGTCCTCTTTTGTACTTCTTTGAGACTTAATTAGTGGAAACGTGTATATTTTGGCCTTCTTAGGAGTTCCAGTCGTAGTTACATTTACACCAAAGATGCCAAATATACGCCCTAGAAGAAAAACGAGACGAATACTGCTCAATATGTCTAACATGTACAAATTATTGTCATAGTAACATCTTTTAGCATTCACTTTTGTTGCTAAAAGAGCTTTTATGCACGTAACCAGAGCACCTGCTCCATGCCATGACTTTTCTAATGGGATATGTCAAAGTGACTTCTTGTCCCCCCTCAGTCTCACTGCAGGGGTCCCGCCCAAATGAATACAAAATAATGCAGCAGCTTAAGTAGAATTTTATCCACGCTAACCCTAATTTCCATATGCAGATCTGTCTCTCCCAACAGTCCCTCTCGCCATCACACCATTTCTTGCATTCTAATGCATTCTCACATCTTTACAAAATCCCCCCATCCGCCACACGCCGTGGATGTGCTCGTTTAGTCGATTTACAGTTCGTTATTTCTGCACGTTTGACTCCTCCGGCGAGGAGATGCACGGTTGACGCGGGGTTTTGCATGCTCTAATTTGCACGTTTTATTACCAGGAGTCAGTGGAGACAATAAAAATGGACGCGACGGGAGATTCTTTTCTTCACGATGCATCGACCTCCCGCTCTGCTTTCAACAGGAGGCAGTCCGTCAGTGTGAAGGCTCTGTCGTCTGAGTGGGAAAGGTAAATGCTTTTTTTTGTTTTGTTCCTACGATACAAACCCGTTCAATCCTCGCTAGGCACTGTAGTACATAGAGGGAGTGAGATTTGAACCTGTTTCATCACCCCCACCCCCCTCCCATCAGCAGTAGCCTCGTTTCCAGGCTTTGATGAACTGGACCTGCTTGGATTTTCTTCTCTGTGAATTCAGCCCATACTTATGTATTGTCACCAAAACCTGAAAGTATTTGATGCCTATAATGGATGCACTGGGTCTTTATTATGTTAAGGTAATAACCTGGTGTTGTGATTACTTGCAGCCCTTTGAGGCTTCTTGATAAACCTAATGAACTGTGTGTAAAGGAATACTGTAGCCAGCATATGGGTAACTACAGACAGACTACTACAGAGGCAACATCTGTCAAAATGTTGCCCGTCTGTAAAATGAAATGATCAAAAACAAAAACCCACAGGTGCATGCACAAAACCTGGCACACCTAAATTGAATGCAACCATTGTTGATATCATTAGTTACACCTGTGCTTTCTATGGAGTACAGAAACTGAGGTACTAATCTTTGCAGATTAGTACCAGATCATATTGCAGACAAGTGAGAAATATAAAGGAACATTTCAATAAATAATACTGCTGATTAAATAAAGAATTTAAAAAGAAATAGCTTTATACATTTATAACCCAAGCAACATTTCCTATTTAATTTCCATATTACTAATCTCCATTTAAGATGTGAGATAGACGTGTCCATGTATGTCCAGGACAATGATTAGTCCAGGGTGTGTTAGTGGAGCAATCAGGGGACTGTGTGGCCTGCTAGTACTCAAAAACACTGTTAGTTAAACCATTTACAGTATATGAGCTTAACACAGCGTTTTCAGCTAGCTACCTAGCTGCTGCTAACTTTCCTCATAAATCTACATCAGCTAGTGCAGGTGTAGTTTCCTTTATCTCTGAGGTCAACCAACTCCGAATATTCAGCATCAAAAGTTGTTAATTGTCCTGCCAACAAAGCGTAACAAAGCCAATGCCTAACACGTCCTGCACAGACCAACACGGCCGCGAGTGGAGGTCTAATCTTTTCAAATAACTAATACCTGTGTAAACACCAGTGTATGTGTATCTCCCTTCTTTGACCCTCATCCCTGACCCACAAGAGGGTTGTGTAGGTTATGGTCAGCTACAGAACAGCTGCTGCTGAAGCTAATGCTGTACCTCCCATTAATCAGACTCATTATTTCAGAATGGTTCCCTCCACTGCTAACCTTTTTAGTTGCAACAATAAAAAACCTAAATTAGCTAATTTTACTGTGGAGCTTGTTCATAATTGAAACCAGATACAAACAAACAGTGTATACCTCCTTTTAAATGAGATGAATTGATTCTATTTGTGCTAATATTAGGTTTGATTTAGACGTAACTCTCAGCGATGGCAGCTTTGCAGCCATTTTGCAACTGGTTCGTTGACTCAGGTTCTTTCCACCAAGTGGGAAAAATTGTCTCCAGAAATCATAATAAGGCGGCTGACGTGAACTGTTTTTCTGACTTGGCTGCGTGTAATTATCTGAACAATGTAGCGTGAATCCAGCATTAGCACCTTGCTCAAGGATACTTGCAACAATCCAATATATCTCCGTCTGTTATGTTGAGCTGACTGCTGCAAACAAAAAGAAATTGGCTAGAATTGTAAGAAGAAAATTGTTGGATGCTGACAAAAATGATTAGATAGCAGATGCACTGTATAATGTTGCTGTGTACAGGAAAGCTTTGTACATTGTTAAGGACACTGAATGTTCTCTTCACTCTGAGTATAAGTTCATGCCTTCTAGACAACGCTAAGAAACTATCATACCTTTGTTAAACAAAAAGATATACAAAGGATTCTTTAATATAATGAACAAACAGCATGGAAATATCCCCTTGTTGGGAGATTTCAATTACTTGTATAATTGTAACTGTTGCACATATATTGCTGTGACGGTTGATGATGTGTGTTGTGATAATTATTTTTACTGACAATAAACACAATAAAAACAATAAATATATATTCCATTTACTGTGTTTATTGTCTAGTATGATGAGACAATGTCTCTGCAGAACAATGAGCTCTGTGATATGGTGCCTGCTAACAGGGAGACCAGGGCTGCAACTAATGATATTTTTCATTATCAATTAATCTGGCAATCATTTTCTCGATTACTCAGTTGTTTGGTCCATAAAATGTTAGAATATCAATAAAAATGTTGATCACTATTTCACAAAGCCTTGTCTTGTTTTGTTCGCAACCCAAAGACATTAAAAATGAATGGAAATGTCAATGACCAAAATAGTTGGCAATTAATTTAATAGTTGACAGCCGATCGATTGATCGACTAATCGACTAAACGATCGCAGCCAATCGTCCAGTTAAAGAGTTTGTGCTAGCCCCCATGCGCTTCCAAATTGCTCTGTGGGCAGAAATAAAATCATATTTTACTGAATACTTAAAATAGCCATGGTATTTAAGTTTGACTTCAAAAACATCCATCTATAAGTTAGGTTGTAGTAATAATTTGGACATTGTAAAATAATGTTATCCAATGACCGGTAGTTTGACCTCTGGAAATCCTGTACGATACAATTCCACCATTAACTCCCCCTCTTTAAGGAGTATAGTCACAGGCCTGTAATGACTTTGCATAATGAGTTACATTCTCTTTTTTCATTGGGTCTGCTTTCTAAAAGATCTCTGTATTGTACAGGGGAGAGTGCTAGTCCCTTTTATCTCCAGAAAAAAACCCTTGTGGCTACAGTTTGATCAATTAAACTCCTGAAAGGGCCCCCCTCCTTTCATTCCTCTGCCTGAGAGGAATATAAAGTTATCAGTCTTCCCAAGCGATATGAGGACGGAAATAAGTAGTTTGTCTATAAAAATGTCCAGGTACTTTATCAGCGTCCCAGTAGGCCCCGAGGCCCTGACACTGTTCAATGTGGCTCTCCTGTACTCCACTCTCATGTGCTCTCCCTTTCTCCCTCTCTCTCTCCCTGACTACTTCGTCTCTGCCGGAGGCCCGCTCCTCGCTGGGTGGGGTGTGCGCTGCCGGCCCTGCATCTCAGTGGGATTGACTGGGGCCCGGGCCCCAAGTGAGGTTATCGATTTCAATCAGTGGCTTGAGAGATTGGAGCTGAATGATGCTGTAGACTTTAAACGGTGGTCAGCTGCACTGTTTGTTGTTTGGGGGGAAATGCTGCAGGAGGAGGCACTTTGCTTTTGAAGGGAAGTCAGATAAACATACAAACAGAATTATATAGAGAGTGAGAGATCTTAATCCTCTAGTTTGGAGTTTTACTGAATGTTATTGGGTGTATTTTGGGAGTAAAATGGCCCGAATAGATACAAAAAGTACAAAGGTTATGGACAGATTACATATTAACAAGGATCACAAGCAGGGCTGCAACTAAGGAATATTTTCATTATCAAGGAATCTGTTAATTATTTTCTCAATTAATCTGTAAGGAATTATTAAAAGGCCAAATTTTCATATACAGATTGAGTTTTGTCAAACCAACAGTCCAAAAACCTAAAATATTTAGTTTAATATCTCTGAAGACTAACACAAAAACAGCATATATTCACATGTAAAAAGTTGGAACCACAGAAGTTTGATCAAATTTTTGCCGACTGACTCATCGATTATTCGACCAATAGTCTCCAAATAGATGCAGCCTTCTAGTTTTACGGGCGGTGTGTATGGGCCATAGACATACATGTGGGCACCAACTGACCGAATACAACAATTTACATAATTGTTTTCCTAATTACATTCAGTACATAATTTGGCAGAGGGAGTGGAGTTGAAGTAGTTAATGTTCTTTAGTACTGCATTCTTCCAACAGTGCACTGGGTGTTTTTCTTTATGAGTAGACACTGAGAAGAGTGAGGTGACAACTTTTTGTTCCATCATTGTTCACAGGAAAGTGCGGGTATAAAGAAAAGACTGATAAAGTTCCTGTTTTGCTTAAAGAGGGAAGTTAGTTCACACAATGAGAGCGCCGCTGTTTTTCTGCTCTCAGAAGCATTTGCATCAAGGCCAGGAGATTAAACGTGTGGGTTGGGAACTGGAGAGAGTGTGTTGTCTCGCTTGGGGCCCCCGATGCCAGAGTTCTAGCTTTCATCGCACTGGGTGAAAGATTTCTCCTGGACGTTTCGCTCTCTGTGGCTACAGGTGGGTGGTTCACATGCTGTAGGTGGCAGCCACTGTGGATTTCATGCAAAAGTACAGAGGAGGTGGCTGTGGGCAAATTGTTTCACAATTGCCAATGTTCAATACTTTGCGCTGAGATGCTGAATCCCACACTGCATAAACTCATTTGTGTGGTTAGATGGTATTTGGAGTGTTATGGTAATATTTAAAACTGTAGGTGGTTGTGTTTTTTAATATAGATATTTCTAATGTCAGTTTTTAGACTACATTATTAAGAACCAATGGAGAGAGAGCATATCCAGTGGGATACTGAATACTGGTGCAGATTAGTGTACAAAACGAGAAAGATGCCTGACAGGTAGAGCTGAAATATTAATGGGTTTCTATTTTGATTGTTGTAATCATTTCAGTCTATTTTCAAGCCAAACATTTGCTGGTTCCAGCTTCCCAGATGTGAGAATTACATTCTTTTCTCTGTGATATATGATAGTAAACTGAATATCTTTGGGTTTTGGACTGTTACTCGAATAAAACAACCTATTTCAATACATCATAAGGGACATTTTTTATAAACAAAACAGTTAAACAATTAATCAGCAAAGTAATCAGCAGATTAATTGAAATGAAATCATCATTAGTTGCAGCCCTACTGCCGTGCTTGTGGTTGCGATGTTATAGAAGGCTGTCATTAGAGTGCTACTCATAGAAACTCTCAAGCATCATTATGCAATGCAGCAATGTGGGCTGATGTAGTGTCCCTAAACATACACAAATTTGTAAAGAATATGTGAGAACTAATCAGTTATATTCTCCTACATCTCCCTTTTAAAGGCTCCATGTTCAGTGCAGTTGTGCTGGTGCTTGGCTGCCTGCTGCAGAGGAAACTAGTGGCCACAGAGGGGCATCGTGGGACCAACTGCCATGTCTTCTATGCAGTGCAAATGGACGGAGGCTTCAGAGCCGCCAGAGCTCTGGCAGAGCAGCACGGACTGGAGTTCATACAGCGGGTCAGTGCATGTTTAAAACCCCTGTTGTTAGCTCCGCCTATGGGGCTGCAATTTACATTTTCTAAATCCGGTTACTGAGGGCCTTTTTTTTTTTTAAAGAACTGCCAAAGTGCTGACTTCTGTTTTCTATTTGAGGGATATGTGACTTTCATCAAATTACAGCAGCATTTCTGAATATTTCATATCTGATCAAAGACACAGAGAGTAGGCAGTCCACACAATGACACACACACACACACACACACACACACACATTTCCATATAGCCAACCTTAGTGTTTACGCCTGTGAGGAACTCCTGTATGTGGAATAGGCTCTAGCAGAATGTCTTTGGAGACGATTGGGTCTTTACCTATTTGCCTGGGCTTTAATGTGTCATGCCGAAATCTTTCTATTTGTCAGAAGACTAGATGTGATTTATCCACATCAATACTGTAAAGGTTACTTTGGTTGTTGAGTCTGAAAGTGTGTCAGCTCCCTCAGAAAATGAAATAAGAAATAAGGGCTCGGAGCGGGTCTCGGTTAGGTGGAGTACAGTAGTTCTGCTTTTTTTTGTGAGAGCGAGTTCAAAGAGGCGGTTTAAGGGCATACAATATTTTGAAATGAACTTTTGATTCTCTTTTATGAAAGATTCACAATCAGAAAGATTTCAAAAGTAGGAGCCCTTATGACTTGGCAACAATTCCTGCAGTGCTATGTTACATTCAAGATTTTAAAGGTTTTTAAAAATTTTACTTTTCAATCGTAAAGACTTATCTAATCAACATAAAATGTATTATTCGATTAAAAACACTGTTAAAGCAATCTATCATGGGTAGTATATTGAAGATGACCCATGAAATGCATTAAATAGCATATGCACTGTCCCATTTCCAAGAATTACAGCAAATTGGATGTGTGGCTTTTTAGATACTATGTTTTTCATTTTCATAGTTAGATAGTTTTAGATGGAGCCCTACTGGGGAGAAATCTGAGAACATACTTACACTTCACACTTACAATCTACAGTCCCCTTAAAAGGTTTTAGTTGCACTTCAGTCATTTAAAGTGTATTACACTTCAGATGTACATTCCTTCATTGATTTTGAGCAAGCAGACAATCAAAAAACGATGATTTAAAGCTACTGATAAGTGATACTGGAGGTGTGCGTGTTTTGACATTATTGATAAGAGTTAGAGGGAGTGTCCACTGGCCTGGTGTGAGACTGTGTGCGGCATTGGCTCTGGGGAACGGGGGACGCTAGCTCATTTCAACCTTGGCCCCGCTGCCTCTGCTGCTGCTGCTGCTGCTGCCTGGATCATGAATAAAACATCTCTTTGACCTTTATCAGGAGTGTATTGGACAGTCCACCCCCTTCTCGGTCTTCCCCTCTGCCTGTCTCTCTCTCATTGTCCCTCATGTATGCACACAAACACCTCTGCCTCTTCCTGCATTGTTTTCTGCTCTTTTATACGCCACTGATAGTCCCTGGATGCTGTGACCACTTGTAATGACCAAAACAAAAACAAAAACAGTTTCCCATGCACATGGACACCACTGTATTTATGCATACACAGTGCTATGAAAACATGTACTTGCATTAACTGTAGTTTTGTTAGTTTATATTCTGGTTTTAAATTTGTGAAATGGTGCAACACTCCGGTAGCATAGAAATCAGTGATAGGTTGCTGTGGTGTGATTCTGTAGTAGTCCATTGTCAAGGATATGCAGTAAGTGTGTTAATAAGGTGTCCAACCCAGCACCACCACATCCCGAGAGGAGCCTCAGACAACCCCCACTTTCACGATCCCCCCAGGTCCAATCTGCTGACTGGCTTCTTTTACCTGTCTGTCGCCAGAGGCTGATGCTAAATGTCACTGACACTAAATCGCCTTTGTTAAGTCAAACCTATCGCAAATATCGTAATATCAAGAAGAAGCCGACGCTTCACAATTTGCTGTGATATATATATTTTTGAAAACATTGAAGTGGAATGAAACATCTGACAAGCCCAACGCCAGCTTGGGAGGATTGTGATGTCTGCTGGCATTCCAGCGGTAATGCCGCATGAGTGGAATGGGAATCAAATGTCTCCATGCTGGCACTCAACATATTGTTGGTCTCTTTGATTTAGTGTACAGCATCCAAGAAAATGTCATCGCGTCTCTCCATTGTGCAGACTTGACATATCCATTTTGCAACTGTAAAATACAAAGAAAAACAAAGCAAAATGATGTCTTTATGCCACACGGACAGATTTACTGTGATGCATTGCAGTTGCTTTTTGCAGGTGCCTCTTTGGGTAGCAGACGCACTGAAGCCTTACCTGTCACTCTTCATGATATTTGAATGTGTCAAAAGAGATTGCGTTTATTCCATCCACATTTCATCTTTCACTTGTCTTACATTTTGCCCATTTAGAAATATTTAAAGATGGCTTATAGTTTGTCAACATTCCTTTAAATTGGAGGGTAAATCAGCTCATCCCCTGTAAGATAAGATGGCGTGAAATCGAGTAACATTTAAATAAAGACACAAACACAACAAATGCAGTGCACCCAGGGAGCAGTAATTATTACGGCTATGTGGCAGTGCTGACGTGGATTCAGAGATTACTGGCATACAATGGTGAGTCTCATCTCCAACCAAGGCTGTGGTGGTGTAATGCAATCATTACGAGCCAGAGAGAAAGAGATGCTCTGACTAGGCAGGTAATGGCAGCCATTACAGGTGCAGGGTTTCACACACAATGACAAAGAAAAAAGAGCCTGATCGCGATCTAAAAGAGATGATTTTCTGTTTCACTTTACGCCAGCACAGAACAACAGCGCAGTGACTTGATATTACACGCTGATAAATAAAAAAAAAAAAAGGAAAAAAAAAGTCTCAGCTTGCAGGCTTGCTTACAATACAGCCGACCTAGTTTAAAGTTACATCACATGATACCCCATTGTTTACAGGTATTATTTCTTGCTTACTTAAGAGTTTGCAAATCCGATTAGAGCCAGATTAGGTCTATGTGTTGCATTGTTTTTATTTTAGCTGAGATCACTACTTCAAGAATTAAGTGGCTGTGTGTGTGTGTGTGTGTGTGTGTGTGTGTGTGTGTGTGTGTGTGTGTGTGTGTGTGTGTGTGTGTGTGTGTGTGTGTGTGTGTGTGTGTGTGTGTGTGTGTGTGTGTGTGCAAGGTTTTTGTCTTGAACTCTGACACCAGGAAGTCCCTGGTCTCCAACCAATGGTGAAAGGCCTCCCAGATTCCCCTTCTCTCCAGTGAGGCGGAATACTGCTGGCAGATTACCATATCATTACCATATCATTAGCATAACATTACTGCGGCACAGCTTGGCTCGCTGTCTGCGGACGTGCTATCAGCTCATCGGGAGATTCAATCCCCAATCCGCTCCATGCCTCCCGCCCTCCCCTCTCCTCCCCACCCCTCCCCTCTCCTCCCATCCCCTCCCCTCTCCTCCCCCCCTGTACACGCTAGGTGTGTTTTCCATCCGAGTAAAGCAGATGTAATTGAGGTAGAGCACTGGATTTACCGACTAAATGAAATCACACAAACGCTTCACGATCAGCCGGGGCCGCTGTCGTACACATTCAGAGAGCTCCTTCTCTGAAACCTCATAGTGCTGCACCCAATTCAGAATTTCTAATATCCTCTCAGAAATAGCCTCAGTCAGATGCTAAGCTATGTCAATCCTTACTCTGGCTGGATTACTCCAGGCTGTTATGTTATGACCAGGTGTGAGCGTGTGTGTGTGTGTGTGTGTGTGTGTGTGTGTGTGTGTGTGTCCAATGTGCCACCATCCTCTCCATCGCCCCTTCCTCTGCCTTTTCTGTACCGTAGGGCACCCAGGGGCGCAAAAAGGGACACCAATCCTCTAATGGTTGGAAGAGAGGGCCCATTCCATTAGTCAGGGGGCCCAGAGTTCACCACTGCTTCTCATCACGAGGAGGGGCAGAGGGATCGAAATGGAGGCAGGTGTTGGCCGGGGGCAACACAGAGGGCAATGCTGCACCAGCTGCATGCTGGGAAATGCAGCATTTTTTTTCTCTCTCCCCCATCTCCATTCCTTCTCTGCCTATTTCTATTTCCTCATGCAAGTACAGATGCACACACCTTGCATATAGCATGCACAGCACACACACACACACTCTCTCACACACACACACCACACACACACACACACACACACACACACAGTCTGACTTCTTCTCATCCGCCTTTGTCCCCAATTTTAATTCATTCCAGTAAGCTTTTCTCCATTTTCCTTATCTCTTTCTTTCTCACTCTCTCCCTCACACACTCATTCACTCACTCATTCACTCACGCCTATCTCCATCTCTTTCATTTTCGCTCTCTCTCTCTTTGCTTACCCCCACGCCTCCACCCTCCCTCCCCACACTCCATCCTCGCCCATGCCGCCTCACTCTCATTTGTAAATGGAGAGCAGACTTGACTGAGGAATACGTGGAGAAGATGTGGTTTCCCTCCCAGGTGGGAAACTCTGGCGGGAGATGAAGCTGGAGAAAAAGAAGAAGAAGGGGGTGAGGAGGTGGTGGAGGAGGAGGAGGAGTAGAGCTCTGGGCTGAGATGATGTATGGCTGCAAAGGCCACATGTTGGCCGTGTGATGGATTAAAGCACTTTGTAGGAAAATTACTGAGAGCGCCTCAGCACACACAAGTCTAGCCCTTAATAAAACTCTCTTCAATATTGAAATGGAGAGAGGGAGAGAGGGAAAGAGCAAGAGATAAAGAAGATAAAGGAAGATGGTGGACTAGAGCAGGCAGTGGTGGTACAAGCACACAAACACGCTCATGCACATTGCTTTCCATAGATGATATGGAATATTGAGAAATATTGTAAAACTGCATGTTACAAAGCTTTACTGTTGGGTTTTACTACACGATTTTGTTTGGATTGGGTTTATAAAATGAGCTTAGAGAGAAATAAGTGAAAGTAAACCATATTTTATGAAGTCGATGTTTATTATAAGCTTTGTGGATGAACATTTAT